GCAGCGCGCCGGAGCACCGCCCAAAACCCACCACCAACACCATCACTCGACGGCCTTGTAGTTCAGGCCGTGAACCTAACAGCTGAGACCAGTTCCTCTCTCGGCTACAATCGTTTGACCAGGAAGACAGATCAAACAGGCGCACCATTCATCCATCCAACACTCATCGAAACATCAACGCACGGTAAACCGTGCTGGCACGCCCGCGCACAACCGCATCGCACCCAAAAGCAGGAAACCCCGTGTTAACGCACATCCCCTCGGCCCGGAACTCCAGGCCGTGAGATTTGCGCGGCAGACACATTCAGGAAATTGAATTGAGTAAATTATGATTTTTGAATTGGAAATCGAACTTGATCTCACGAACGCGTAGGCACAAACGGTTCGGGAATCCGAGTTGAAACGAAGAAGTTATTCTCATTTGAAGTTTCAGGGACTTAATTGCAAACAGAAACTTTGTCTAAAAAATTACATATGGACACTGTTGGGATTTCAGAATTTGCAATTGTACCCGGAGGTTTGAGAGCTCGTCGGAGAGGCAATTTCCAGCGGTTTCTGCGGCAGCGTACGGTGGGGGTGATCGACACCACTCACACAGATAGAAAGCCTGCTATCTCGTGAGCATAATACCAGAAGTATCGGAGCCATCGGAGGTGTGGTGAAGTCACGGTGATGCCGTGAAGTTGGTTCGTCACTAGTGAAGTCAACGACTTTAACCGGCGGATTGAGCCCCTTACACTTCGAATCGGACCTTGAGGTAAGAATTAAAGTTGTTTTTCTCAGTATTACGAACATTTTACCGTAGGTCTTGACCGGCAATTCTAGGGTTGGTCTGTCGCCGGAATAGAACCCGAACTACCACCGGCGGTGGAGGTGCGTGGCGGCGCGTGGTAAGGATTCTGAGTTAGGGTTTAGAGACAGATTGTAGTCCTGGAGTTACTGAACATAGTGGTATGTTTAAAGTGTTGAGATTCTGTCGTTTAGTCGACGATCGGAGCCTCACAAATCTGGACCATTGATCGGAGATGATCGGACCGTTGGATTGTGTCCAATTTTAATTATGTTGTAGCTGGTGTTGTTAGGAGTCTGTAGGTTCAGACAGATTGATCATCGGACATCCCGCTCTTAAGTTATTATGTTTCGAAGTTAAGGCGAGCGATCGCCATTCGATCGTGCGATATAGAATTATCCGACCGTTGGATTGGGCCCAAATTGTCGCAGGGTGATGTCAGGACTATTTAGAGTCCATGGGTGCGATCAGATTTGGAATCTGAGGTTGTGGGCCCAAGGAGGATTTTTGGGGTGTCGATTAGACATGTGGGACCCACGGGACCCAAATAGTGACCTTTTGGACGATGGGTGTCATTGGTCATGATTCGACGTCAACAACACGTACGTCACTGTTTTGGAGTCGGTTGGATGAGATTTGATCACTTCGGATTCCCAGTTGGTCCAAAGGGCATTTTCATCATTAGATACGAAATCTTGGATTTTGGAGTTTTGTGCTAAGTTGAGCTATGTACTTTACTTAGGTACTGTTGTTGTTTGAGTTGCTCGTTGAGGTTTGGGATTGAGGATTGGTTAAGTTGTTGAAGACGCAGCTTGGACGAGAGGTGAGTAAAACCATCCTAATCGTGAGTAAAATCACGAATTATTATATTTATTATAATGTGACATTGGATAATGTTAATGGCTATAATTAACATGTTAGTTGTGATTTTATAAAATGTTTTAATTGAATTAAAACACATGAACTTGTTCATCAACGGTTCATGAGGTAAGTGAAACCTATTTTGTTTTGAATTAATTCTTTTTATTGGAGATTTTGGTGTTTAATCATATAACATATGTTGTGGATGTAGGGTGGAAATTCATTCGTGAATAACCACATAAATATATATATAATAAATATATATTGCTGTGATTGGTGTATTTGGCAATAAAACAATGTTTAATGTGAAATGACATTTTTATATTGTTTTGGTGTTGGTGTTTTGGTGTTGATGGATTTAGGTGAGAATACCTTGAATCCCTTCTGAGATTGTCAGGTGGGCATTCTCGTGGCAAATAATGAGGGATAAATTACCCTAGGGAGCAAGACCCAAGAACAGTTAAAGCTCTAGTCTAGCGCCATCTAGTACTCATGACCACTGGCGGATCCACAGAGGCGCAAGGAGCTGCAGCTGCACCTCCCCTCGCCGGAAACTTCCTTGGGGATGCTGGAATTTGCCTCTTCGCTAGTGCCCACCAATTGTTCGACTAAATGCCTCAAAGACGTTGTATTGTTTGCTGCTGTGTGAGACCCTGAATATTTTCCTTATATTGTTGGGCTCGATCTCACGAGCATGTAGGAGAAAACGGTTCATCAATCGGAGCTACACAACCAAAGTTATGAATTTTCTAAGTTTTTCTTGAATATTTGAAGTTAAGTTGCAGAGGCACAGTTTAAGGAAGAAGAAGACTCTGCGTCAGCGCTTCTGATTTTGATTCTTTTTTAAATGGCCCAATAGCAAGCCAACACATGTCTATTTCTAATTGGCCTAGCTTAAAAATTCATTAAATACTCATATGTGTGCCAAAAAATTCACCGAAAATTACCCCAAACTTCTAATCACGTGTACCTTTATTTCATGACCTCCAATTTACATGTGCTTTTGGTTAGATTAATTGGTAAATTTTGGTTAGATTAATTGGTATTAACTTTTGTTAGATGAATTATGTAATTGACATGGATTTGTTCATATTTGATATGAATTTTGGTAAACTCACTGTGTCAATGACAAGGATGTTGTTCATATTAATTGATATCCATATAGACTATAATCAATTAGTTGTAGACGTAAAACTTTTATTTGTTTTAATTATGAGTGACATTTTGCACCTCCCCTGAAAAATTCCTGGATCCACCACTGCTCATGACTGGAGTGTAATCATGAGTGAACACTACTTTGAAGTTTTGTAGTGTTATAGATTAGAGGTGCATAGTATTCTCTCTTCTATCTGTCAAATAAATGACGTGTTAAAACTACTTTGAAATAAAAGAGTTTTGGTGGGGTCACAGGTGGTGATCGAAACGGTTCTTTAATTAAAATAAAAGAATTGTGATTGTGATGATATTGATTATGATTACCTTGGTTATACAAGGATTGTGGTATGCTAATGAAAGTGCATGTGTTCGCGTATTATGTGTAATTGACATATTATACTTTGGACGTGGTTTACTCATACAAGCTTTAAAAAGCTTACCGAGTTGTTCTGTGGTGAACCCGATGCACTATTCGATGGTGTAGGGGAAAATCCTGCAGGTGGTAGAGACCGTGAGCAGGAGAATTAAGTTGTGGAGCAGGAGGCTCGTTGGTGGTTCCACAGAGTGCAAAGTGTGGTGTGAGAGTGTTGGTGAGTGTTAGTCTTCTACTGTGTGAATGATCTCTGAGGAGCAGATTATGTAATATAATGATTGTTTATTTTATTATATGAGTTTGTAATGTAATATTTGACTCAGAAGAGTTGAGTCATTATTGACATTGTGGTTTGGAACAGTGGTGTTGTATCAAGAAAGAAAAATTTAAATTTCTAGGTACATTTGTTGAAGGTTCCGAACTTTACGTCCCGGATTGTTGGTTTTTCTGTTTAAACTTGCAGATTAGTTGTTGTTGAAAATTCGGGGCGTGACACCTCGACAAGCAGAACACTCCTCCAAGATGACTCTAACAAGCTCAAAAGTAGTGGAAGATAAGTTTGCAATTTGAAGAGGAGTGAAGAGAAGCCTTGTATTTATAATAGTTGGGGATCCTTATCCAGCAAGGAGCACAAGCCAATTCCAAGAAAAAGTCAAAGGCCTACTCCAACTAGGCCCAACTCACAAGTGGAAACCCAAACAAAGTTAAAAAGCCCAAAGAATATTTCACATCTCCTCCCTGCCACATACGTGCCAAGTAGAAGCTGGGGGCATTTGTGGGAGCTTATATTTTGGTGACCAATGAGCGGGTGATACGTGGAAAAGGGAAATTCCTTAGGTCAATTAATTATCCTAATTAAATCCTATTTAATTTGGGAAATTATAATTGATTTAAGACAGGAATATCTCCCTAAATCCAGGATGAGATTTCCACCGAATCTCCTTGATTAATTCCAATATCCTATTTTTAGGTAAGAATAATCCTAATTAAATAAGGATTATTCTTCAAACCCTAGCTGACAAGGAGCATTATAAATACATGGCTACATCACACAATTGAGGTAATCCTAAATCCACGACCGAAACTCTCTCTCTCTCTCTCGGTTTAGGTTTGAAGAGGTTTTTTTTTTATTTTCCCCACTTATCATCTTGGGAGTTGTTCCCTCTTAGTTTATTCGAAGTATCTCAATGGTGTAACACCATCGACTTGAATCTTTACGTAAAAAAAGTTTATTTTCCCATGTTAAGCGAATGAGTAGGAAGCTTTTTTCAGGAGAAATTTTTGCACTTATCAGGACTCTCTTCGAAGGATTTCAACCTTGATGCCCTATTCGTGGGTTTTTTACTTTTTCCCCACTTATCATCTTGGTACTTGTTCCTTCTTAGTTTATTCGAAGTATCCCGATGGTGTAACACCGTCGATTTGAATCCTTACATAAAAACAATTTATTTTCCCATGTTAAGCCAGTGAGAAGGAAGCTTTGTTCAGGAGAAATTTTTGGACCTATCAAGACTCTCTTTGAAGGATTTCAGTCTAGAGAAAAGATAGGAAGAAAGAACTCCTAACATTCTTATGTGAAGAAATATCTGCAAAAAAGTGAGAAACCTCTGACCACTTTAGCTATTGTCGTATCCTTTTCAAGGTTCAATCGAACTAACTTAGGCATTGGAGAGCCTTTGGCCAACACGTGTGGTCTATTTACTCCAATTTTGCTCAAACAATGTCAACACCCTTAATCGCTTGAGCATAAGTTGTAAGCCTCAAGTCTTCCACAATCCTCCTAATTAGTTTCAATCCATGAATTGGACCCACAACCACACGACTAAAGTAAAGTTCTAGAAATATCTTTAGTTTGCAGCTGCACCTGGGTGGGACCCGCATGCTACCTACGTACCCTTACTGAGGGATCAAACCACACGTAGTTCTTCCACTTTATATATATATATAGTTAAGTTGTTTCAATTAAGTAAGAAAATGAGAAAACAATTAAAATAGCATTAACCACGAGAACCTTACCAACGATTTAAGTAAAAAATACTCCCCTCTTCCACATGTAAAACAAATTCATTCCTTAAGAGAATAGACATGATTTGTAGAAAATCCTTATAACTTGGAAACATTAAATTCTCATCTCATATAATCAGAAAATATATATTAAAACTTCTACTGAAAAATACTATTATGAAATCATCAGTTTAGTTTGAACCTCTTAAAAGCAAAACGCTCTCCACCTAGGTGTACCCCCATTCATATTCCATCAATACCTTTAATATACTGTCAATTCCGATAATATTCCGTCAATTCCAAAAATATTCCATCAATTCCAAGTATCCTGTCTGTTACCTCCTCACAAGCCTCAGAAACACGAAGTCACCCGAGCCGCATTCCTCGCAGGCCTCAGGGGACCCTTAGTCAACCTGAGCCGCATTCCTCGCAGAACTCGGGGGACATGTAGTCAGCCTGAGAATGCACATCCTCGCACCACACGGTTCAGGCATCCCCGAAACTTGTCTATTTCAAAGGCAACTAGGGGGGGTACTCTTGAGGTGGGTTTGAAAACCATATTCTGAAACTTATCTTGAAATTCCTTTTATTTCACAAACCATACTTAAATTCTCTTCTCAACTTTCCAGAAATCAGTTCTCAACTACCTTGAAATTTATACTACATACTGTTGAGAATTAGTGTCCATAATTCATCATTTTCAACTACTGAGTATATGTATTAAGTATAAACATGCACTTAAATATTTAATTAGTTTTTTAATCATGTCGAACTCCAATTAACAAACCATTCTGATACTATAATAATAATCTTAATAGCAATAAATAACTAGATAAATAAATAAATAACCACTACCCCTAAAGATTCCATCAGTTCCAATGACGCATAATCTCCAAATATCGAGAATAACATTTAGGTATACCATCAAATACTATAATACACTTTCAAATAACAAAATAATAGAAATATGCACCATTTAGTGATCTATATATATAAATATATATACTCATTCCATGATCATATAAATCCATAATAGATTGTATGGTAATTTAATCAATGAAAATAATGTCATTACAAACCAATGAACACTCACATAAGCATAAATTTTCTAAAGATCCAAAAATAATTCAAATAGAAATCAACACTTGTTTTCACATAAATTCCATAAAATATTGTATCCCATAATAAAAACAATATACTTCTGTACATAACCCAATACTACCCAATCCATATACTTTATTTATAATCATAATAATATCAATTAATGAAAAGTAATAACCTTTAAAAAAAATCTCATAATTTCAATTATCATTGTAATATCCAAGAATTTCTATAAGGTACTATAAAATAATCCTCTAATCCTAACATGATTAGAATAACTCAACTTTCGGTCAGGACTCGTTTACATGGTCGTTCTAGTACTTCTCAAAGGGTAAAACTACCTTGGAAGACTCACGATCAACCGAGAAGTCAAATTGCCTAAACTTGGTCAACCGGGCCCACGAGGCCCACGACCTCCGGTCACCAATCCGTGAGTTCATATGGGTTCAACACACTTTTCCGAACCCACCTTGCAAGTCTGGTCCAATTCGAAAGCGGATCGCTCACGATCGTACGATCGGACGGTTATCATAAAACGCAAACTTTAACTTATTGAATTGGAACATCTAGGTCTTCGATTCACGATCCATGAAATCCTACACAATTCTAGAAGTGCTTAGATCAACATATTTTAAATTGGAGTCGATCCAATGGTCCAAACATATTGAACCCGGATAACGCCTAATATGCTATATCCGATCAACGATCAAACAATATCCAAATTCATATCCGATCATATCTTCATGCTCGGGACGACATGAGGAATATTTTAGGATTCAAGGACTGGCCCAAAAGTGGCCCACGCGCCACCACATGCGTCGGCAACGCGTGGGTGCCCAAAGCGATTCCGGCGATTGGAAAATCTCCAAACCCCCGGTCAAGACTTATACCTACATGATCACCACATAGAGTGGAGCAACTTTTGTTCTTGGACACACCCCAAAAAGTCGACAAAAGTGGTCGGAATCGGAGGTCGAAAACTGGCAGATTTTAAATCGCATATTTAACCCCTTAAACGCAGAAATTTCTCCTATTCAACACAACCAGCAGCTAGAAAATCTCGAGAGGTTGAGAAAGCATACCTGGATTGACCGAAATGGTGACCGGAAGTGGGAGAACGAGCGGTCGGAATGTTTCTGAAAAATCTGGCCAATTTTCTTGATTTTTCGGCAGTATTTGCAGTGGTTTGTGGTGGCAAACGGGGTGGGGTAGGAAGGGGGCAACGTGCCGAGTCTTTTGGTACCAACCCCGTCGCGTTTGGTGGTCGGAGGTGGTGGTGGCGACCCAAAAATGGGTTAGATGAATAGTAACAGAGGGGGAGGGGAGGTGCTGCCTGCGAACCAGAGGGACGGGAGGAAGAAGAAGAAAAAGAAAAAAATAGTAATAATAAAATATTTAAAACTGCCGGTTACTGTTTGCTATAGTAACAAATTTAAAAGTTACATTCACGTCCTTTTTGTTTTCAAACTTTTTCTCCTTCGTTACAACTCGGAATTGGGCGTGCCGCATGTCTACGAACTCGTATCCACCACATGCGTCGGCAACGCGTGGGTGTCCAAAGCGATTCCGGCGATTGAAAAATCTCCAAACCGCCGGTCAAGACTTATACCTACATGACCACCACATAGAGTGGAGCAACTTTTGTTCTTGGACACTGTCTGCCGCGCAAATCTCACAGCCTGGAGTTCCGGGCCGAGGGGATGTGCGTTAACACGCGGTTTCCTGCTTTTGGGTGCGGTGCGGTTGTGCGCGGGCGTGCCAGCACGGTCTACCGTGAGTCGATGTGTTGATGAGTGTTGGATGGATAAGTGGTGCCCCTGTTTGAACTCGTCTTCCTAATCAAATGATTGTAGCCGAGAGAGGAACTGGTCTCGGCTGTTAGGTTCACGGCCTGAACTACAAGGCCGTTGAGTGATGGTGTTGGTGGTGGTTTTGGGCGGTGCTCCGGCGCGCTGCTCAGGGAGCGACGGTCGTGTGATATATGGGGTGAGTGAACGAACAACAAGGATGGTGCTCCGGCGCCTTGAAAATCAAGGGTCGTATGAT